AGATTTGAGAAATGATTCATTAGAATTGCAGGCAGTTGACGTATATTTGGGATTTTGTTATTTATTCGTTGCAATGGCGCTTATTGAATATGCTTGCGTTGCGTACGCCACCAAGAAACACAATGATCAATTGAAGAAGTACAAGAAACGTGAAGATATGATGCAGACTCAAACACTGCAAACACCCGATCTGTTGAGAGGTGCGTGCCCCTTTTGACATGCTCTTTATCACTAACTCCGAATATATTTCCTCGTGAAAATTGTCGCTTCTTTTGAAAGAATTCGATCATGCTAATCGAGCAACGATCTACTCTCTCTAGTAAAACTGAAAATACGTCGTCTCGTTCGAGCACATTCTGCGATCAGTAACATGAAAGCACTAAGGAACACCGGGTTTCATCAGCAATAGCGCACATTTATTTTAACATATTCCAGAACGGATGTGTTTTTGATGTGTGATGAGAGGAGAAGATGCAAAAGACAATTTTATGATGAGACGAGAATGACGAATGAAAACACAAATGACGACGTGCTTTTTGCGTTCGGTTAAATTCCCAATTGGGATTGATTGCAATAGAGCAAGTTTGTAACTGCAACAAATGTGTGATTTGTTGTTAAGAGAAAAAGCCATAAGAACATTGAAGGATGAATGTGCACGATGCGCTCTGCTTTCAGATGCACGTATTGATGAGTGTACGTGTGAGCAAGGTACTTCGGTGTTCGCAACAATTGCTAAACGTCCATTCAAATTACGATGTATAAAGCACAATCGCATCGACCTCATCGCCAGAATCCTTTTTCCTGCATCGGTTAGTGAGCACATTCACTGTTTCTTAATTCCCTTAATAGTAAGCGATGCTATTTTCGTTTTACTTATTCTTAATTAGCAGTTACAATTCATTACCGCTATCATCACTACGTCTATCGATATTAGTGCAGCAGATCACTAACTATCATGAAAACCACTGATTTACGGCTATAGGTACCACTCTTCCGTCCTAACAAATGAAGCGCATCACTTCCATCCCCACCACTTAATCGCGTATAGATGAAACGCATGCATGTTCGAACTGAAACGCACATTCAGCGATGAATTCAGCAACTTCTCCCCAATATCATAACGATATTCTCACCATATGGAAATCATGGAACGTGCCTCATGTAAGATGTAAAACTCAGTTTTAAGGAGTTGATTGAAGCATCTAACCGTAAACTTTCTTCAGTTTTTGACTTTCAATTTGATTTATTGGATGGTT